GTGCCTTTGGGTGGTCAGTAGAAATGCAGGGAACCCCTTGTGGTGTCTCCCCTCAAACCTAGGAGCCTCATCCCTTTCCTCAGGGCACTTTCCTTTTCTCTGCCATGGCCTCGTGGGTGGCAATTCCCCGTATCAGAGTAAACTAGCAAGTAGCCCTGCTATGAAGGAAAGCTGAGTGGGAACTGACTGAGCCACAAGCCCTTCCCATGGACAGAAAAGGAAGGTCAGATGTTTAGGTATGGCCCCTATGGGCACAAAAGGGGCATGGCCCCATAGCCTGGCCACAGGGCATGAGACATTGTAGTCAGAGCTGCCAGGATGGGAAAGAGGAACAGATGGCTGTAGTTTTAGCTCTTTGAACAGAGAAACCAGGAAACGACATAGATATATAGACATATACGTTTGGGCTGGTATAACTTTATGTAATGAAGGACCAAGCACAGTTGTCATTTACGTGGGATATGGGTGGCACAGAGACCTGGTGAAGACCACTGAAGCCTTGCCTCTACCCCAGTCTGTGGAGACCTCCATTGGAGAGGGCCTTAACTCTTGTCCCACCTATGACTCAGACTCACTAGAAGAAGGTTCAATAACTCTAAGGTCAGTCAGGATCCTGCAAAGAACTGTTGGACTCTTAACAGCATTTCTGTTTACTGAATGACTTTGACAGAGTCTACATGTGTCATTCATTTGGCAGGGGTGTGATTTTCCATATCTTTCAGATCTTTCACAAAATAACATAAGAGCCTTCTATAGAGACCACCTGTACTGTTATGAAAATAAACCAGGTTCTTCACCACAATGAGTGCTGTTTGTGCGATAGGAATGGGTGAAAAAAAACAAAACATCCAAACTCAACTGCCATTGAGTTGATTCCAACTAATAGTGACACTATAGTTGATAGAGTACAACCACCCCCTTGGATTTCTGAGACTTTAAAGTCTTTATAGGACTAGACAACATCATGGAGATGGAGAAGCTGATGAGTTTGAATGGCTGACCTTGTGGTGAGCAGGTCAGGTGTAGCCCCCTGCACGATGTAGACTGAAGTGTCTGACCCACAGAGATGTGGCTTGTAGATGTAGGGAGGGATGAACCACTGCAGATTGCTGATAGGCTCCCATGGTTTTCTCAATATCTATCCTGATGCCTGTGTGTGTATGTGAGTTGGAATAATAATTTAATCAGGTATTGTATAAAGGGATTACATTGCATTTAAGTTTAATGTGTTAACGTTCCCCCTCTAATACTAAATCTGTACATTTTAAACATGTATTTCCATTATCTTTCAAACTGTATATTTTTCATCATCAGGAAAAATTCAATCATATAGGATAACAGCAGGAATGAGAGGTTGTCCCAAGTAAACCCACTACTTTTCTCTCTCACAGCACCGGATAACAAACAGAACTCTGCTCATCAAGTGCTTGATGGTGCTGGGAATGGTTATCTTTATGTTCTTTCTCAATTCATTTGTCCCTGGCCTTCATCTTGACCTTGGTGAGTATATTTTTTTGCTTGCAGTCACTATTAGAGACTGGAAGGGGGTGGTTCAAAGCAGTGCCCTTGGTACTGACTTGCCTGGTAGCAGCTGTCCTTGCCAAGAGGCCTGTGAGAACAAAGGCTTTTGATGGAAAAGAGCTTGAGAGACAGAGAGAGGGGGAGAGGACAATAGATAACGACGGAAAAGAGTGACAGACTCAGTGCAGATGTCCCCAGCTCCAGGGTTTGGCTCTAGGAAAGTGTGGAGTAATGATCATCCTCTATGTTGTACCCAGGGGCCAAATCTTTAAATTACTCCCTGAGAATCACCCCTGGAAGAGCCAGAACATAACTTTGGTAAGGTCAGTTTTTCCTTCTGCACAACTGGGCGTGGCCACTAATTGAGAACCTAGTAGATCTTGATCCTTGGCTTGAATATGGCCCAGACACCTGTATGAGCTCACGCTCCCTTTACCTCATGTGAAGTTTTACCTCCTCTACCTCTCTGTCCTCCAGCCTTGTTCTAAGGTGTGTGTGAGGGGGAAGGGCTTGGGCAGTGAGTGGTCAAACAGTCAAGCACAGCTCTTTCCTCAACCTCCTTCCAGACTACGGCCTTTGCCTCTCCAAGATTCCGCCGCAGTCATATTAAGCTCACCGGACCCCAACTTTTTTCGTATTAATTTAACCGTTACCTGTTGCTATCCGTATTTAAAACAAAGTCAAACGTACTTCCAAGTGTTTTTAACTAAAGCTTTACTAGTGATTTTCCTTCAAAAGTGAGCTCTGGATACCACTAAAGCTTGCACAGCAAGAAAAGTATAGTTAATGTTATTGCATTTTAAATATGGCCACTCTGCTTACATATGTTTTGGTGTGCATATTTTTCACCCAAAATTCCAAAAAATATGAGATTTACTAAGATATTTTAAAGGACTTTTAATTAAAACTTAGTTTGCTGCAAAATTGGAGGAATATAACTTCTATAGAAAGCAAAATATATTTTAAATACATGTTTTAAACTTGTCAAAAAAAAAAAGAAAGCCAAATATCTGAACTCTATAAAGCAGATGGGTATGGAAGTCAAGCTCCAGTTATTGATTCTGCATCATTGCTTCTTAGCTACATTCAATAACTTTAGATTATTTCAAGTCAAGGTTGTGCTAGTCAGTTGTAGTAGAAAGTCGCTCATAGAACATGGTATGTACTTTTGACAGGGTGTTCAGTTTTATGTCACGTGCTCACAGCCTCTCAGAATTTCCTTCACTACACGATGTTAAAATCTCACTTGTCTAGTGCCTTACGCTTGGTTCTGAATGTCTGGGTGCTCTTTCTACACAACTGGAATCATAACAGAGTCATGAAGAATGCCAAAGCTATGTGACCAATACTACTGGACAAGTATAGAAACTGTTAAATGAAAACCTAATCTGCTACATAAACTTTCACTGAAAACATAATAAAAAAGCATCCAAAAGCCAATGCCAAAGCATAATCGATTTTAATTATATTTGGTGAGTTACATCTAGAAATTAATGTTGCAGTAGAATTATGTTAATTATAGCCATACATCGCATAATGTTAATATTACAAACTAATCACTACAAGAATGTTAAGTGACTAGCATTGTTAATTTAACAGATAAAATAAAACTGATGTTTTGTTGACATAGGATTTGGTTCTGTTTGGGATATTGCTAAAGTTTTCCCAGATTATTTTGTTCCTAATTTTATTTTTTGTTTTGTTTTGTTTTAATATATTTTATTGTGATTTGGAGAGAGTTTACATAGCAAATTAGGATCCAATTAAAACATTTCTATACGGATTGTTCAATGACATAGTCTACACTTTTCACATATCAGCATTTCTAGTTTTTTACAGTGGCTTTCTCGACACAGTATTCTCAAATCATACATCTCCATGGTTAAATAAGTTTAGAATGAGCTGTATATACACAATCACAATCAGTTCCAGGGCTTGCTCCCCAGTTCTGGGTTCCTTGTTGCCCCCCAAAGCCCCTCACTCTCCCTAGATCTCCACACACACCCTCATTCCAGCTAAACCGTTGCATTAGTTACCTCTACGTGTCCCCTCCTTCTGTGATTCACAAACTGGGAAGCCCAGCAGTAACAATAAAAAAACAAAAGCAAGCTAAAATGGCAAGAGTAACATAATAATAATATACAAATAAAGAGTAAGAAAGAAAAGATTACCTTCAATATTTATAAAGCCAGGGAAGAAATTCTTTGCGTGGAACAAGCAAGAAATACTTGAGCCTAGATCAAATTCAGATTGAGTCAAGAGGTAGGTCAGCTGACCAAGTGTCAAATTGTACCAGGTTCGATCCATCATGACCAAGAAGAATTAGACTGATTTAGGAAAATTTCAGTTGACACGTTTCTTTGGTAAATTGGGTGGTGGTTTTACAGAGCAAATCCATTTCCTAGTCAAACAATTTATATACATTTGATATCATGTCATGGACTGTAATCCTCCTGATATAACAGTACTTATTCTACTGCCTCTTCATGCTTTCTGCGTCCATTTGGTCTTCTTCCCTAATCCTCCTGAACATTATCCTGGGTAAGTGCTGCACTGTTGATCTCAAATGATTGATTACCCCAAGTTGTGCATACCTCCCTAGTATTACTGCTCCTTTTTAGACCTATTGTTTGGCTGAAAATATCACCAAAAGGGTGAGTCCTGGGCGTTCCACTAGTTTCTATCTGGGCAATAAGCCTGGCTCTTGATTATTTTAAATTATAGCCCACACTTTCCTCTCACTCTCTCCAGGACCTTCTCACGTGCATCTTCTCGGGGTAGTTGTGGTGACAGGTGGACAACACCCAGTTGTGGGCTTCAAATAATTTAACAGCTGTATCCCTGCCCTAATGGCTGTTTTAAGTATAAAAAAAGATATGACTTAAGTATAAAAAAAGATATACTGAAAGATAGTTTATTATTTCATATTTAATACTTAATACTTTAATACTTGAGTTAGTACTTAAGTAATAACAATAAAAGAAGCACACACAATTAGATGATAAGAAAGTTTAAAAATATTAATTAAATAATATTAAATAATGCTAGGCACACAAAATAAAACTATTAAGATAGTTCCATATTGCTTCTTGATTGGAATCTTCACTTGTCATATTCTTCACTTTTATCAGCGCACCACCTGCTGGTTGCTGGGTGGGTGATGTTGGGGGCTTTCTGTTCACCCTGAGGGTGTGGGGAATAAGGGCAGATTCCACTGTTGTTGTCAGCAGCCACTCACTTGTGTATGAGGCCTCACTAGAAGTCTGCTCAGAAAAGTTCAAAATGGCCATATTGTATCAGGCCAGCCCCCCCCCAACAATTCACCTGTCTCCTCTCTCACTCCCTCTGCCCAGTTTTCTTAGTAGGTAGTCTACTTCTGTATCCTTTCCTCTGCAGTTCAGGGGTCCAGGATTGTCACCTGTATCTTTTTCACTTGGTCTCTTGTGCCTTTGTTGTAGAGTCTGTGTAGTGTGTCTGCTTTGTTATCTTGCTGGAAATCTCCCCAAGCATCTCTTTGGGGCCTTGAAGGTAGCTGGGGGCAAGGTGGTTAGTGATGGCTGGAATTCCTGCCTACACAGGGTAGGCTGGGGACAGGCCATTTGTCCAGCACAACATGTTCTGCTGGTCTGATGAGGCAGAGTTCAAGGGCTTCCAGATTTGAGGGTGGTATGCACCTGTCAACTGATCCACGAGAGAGCTCCTCTGACCTCAGCCAGAATAGAGGCTGTGCAGGATGGTTTGCCCCTGGCTATTGGGTGGGGTTTGGTGATGCTTCTGGTCACTAGGAGGGTATGGTGAAAAAAGGGGAGGATTGCTCCTTTATGATCCCCACCCCCACCCCCCGCGTTCATGCTTGTGCTGTCCTGGTGACCAGAGAAGATTATCAGATCACTGTCCTGATGAAGAGCTTCTGGCAAAGTTCAAAATGACCACTGTGTATCAGCTGACAATTTAGTTACTCCTGCTGTTTCCCCTCTCACCACTTTTGTTCATCTTGTTCTGTTAGATGATGTTAAATTCATTTCTGTCTTCTTTCCTGTGCAAAAGCACAGGGCTCCAGTATTATCATGCAGGATTATATGTATCTGTGTCATTTGATCTTTCATGTCTCTGTTGTTGAGGATCCATTTAGTGTGTCTGTCTGGTCTGCATCTTGCTAGACATCACACTAACACACATTTTGTGTTGCTTAAGTCTGTAGTCGTATCATTGATCTTATTCAATGATCTTATATTGATAATTTTGGTCTTCTCATTTATCTCTCTTCTTAAAGAACCAAGTTTTATTACTTTTATCTGTTATGTTTCTTGAGTCTGGCGCCTTAGACCCCTCGGCCATCCTGACACATACTTTTATCTATCATGTTTCTTCGTTCCTGATCCAAACTTTAAAACTGCTTTTCTTCTACGTGTTTTGAACTTCATTTGCTTTCAAGATAATAAAAACAAAAAAGGAAAGGCACAGAACATGTTTTAACATTAGCTTCACTGCAAATGATATCTGGTTGGAAAATAAGCATGTGAACAAATGTTGAGCATCATTAGTTATTAGAGAAATGCATTTTGAAACCACAGTGAAACACATGACGTCTGTTTCAAAATGGTGACGGGAATTGGACTAGGGTCTAATAACACAGGCATCAGTACAATTCGAGTCTGGTCAATGTGTTCATTAACTTGTGCAGTGATCATTTCATGGGTGAAGTCTAAGTCCAAATTTAAATTGCACATTTTAATATGTCCAGTTTACTCTACATGGATTGAACTCAATAAAAAGGCAATTAGAAGATAATCATTTAATTGTTTTTATATTAAAAATAGAATTACATCTGTATATCCATTTACTTCTTTTCCAGGCTGGATTGCTATTATAGGTGCCCTATGGCTGCTAATTTTAGCCGATATACATGATTTTGAGATAATTCTACATAGAGTGGAATGGGCAACACTTCTGTTCTTTGCAGCACTATTTGTTCTGATGGAGGTAAGACTAAAGTTTTTTCGGCATAACCTGGTCTTGACATTTCACAATATGATGGGAAGTAAAATTGTATTTTTACTACCAATTCATGCACAGCTTAGTCCATTCAAAGCATGTTTAAACATGTCTCTGTAGTCAGTGGATAGCTTCAGAGCTATTCTATCAGTAATACACTTGTCTTAATTTTGTTAGATCCACCCCCCCACTCCCCACCCCAAAAAGGATACTTTTTGTGCCATGGTATAAACAATTTTGAAGTCAGGGCTAATATAACATTTTAAACAAAATGCAAATGGTCACCTTCCCAAATCATTGAAACTTTGAAACGAATTTACTGGAATGCTGCTCTGTGTTAAGCAAATACATTCATTCATACATATACACACACACATGCACACACATATATACACACAACACACACATATACATACCTGCACACACATACACACAAACATTCACACACAAACATGCATACACACATGCATGTATACACACATATATACATGCACACATACATGCATGCATACACACACAAACACACATATACATTAGTACATACACATATAAACATGCACAGATATACATACGTACACGTACACACATGTATACATATCAAGTGATTTAAGGATTTAAGGATGTTATGAAGATCTCAAAGATGAATTCCAGGCAAAGGTGTCCACTAAGTTATGAAGATTATTCCTTTGGATTCCAGAGGGTAATCTTGGTAGATATCCTTGAAGGATATAGGTCAACCACAAAGGTTTATTATGAAGAATTTTTTAAATAGAAAGCTTCATTGGTTAAAAAAAGGCTCATGAATTTGTGCCAAAGATTTTTTTCTATCATAACTATGTACCTGCTCAGTAACCAGTGGTAGAGGGACTGTCCTATAAGAATTTCATGGGGAAAGTTGACCTCCTCCACCATACACCCCTTCAATCTTTTTGAGACCCAAATTCAAAAGCTAGTTGAAAGGAACACAAATTGAGTTCCTCAAGAATACATAAACTGTCATTTTGCCACCATGTAAATTAAAGAGCACAGATGCTTTAGGGAAGAGTTAGAGACATGGAAACATTGTACAGAACAGAATATATGACAAGAAACAATGTGTTCATATTTTGATATCCTTGTTTAGTAAAGGTTTCTTTAATTCGGTAGTGCTACTTTTTTACTTACTCCCATAAAACAAAAACCATGGCCACAATTTTTTTTCAAGGTTAGAATTTTTGTTTCTTTTAATAAGTATTGGATTCCTCTAAATTTGTGATTCTAAAAAGCTGACGATTTTGTCCTCTAGGGAACAATGATTAATGGAATGAATGGAGGGGGGTAGAGGCTAAGGATGTTGCTAAACATGCTATCTAGTACAGAATACTCCCTGCCATCACAAGGAATTATCTGAATCTCACTAGTGCTGAGGTTGAAATGCTGCTCTAAATAGAAATCATCTTTATGATGTAGCTGATATAGTAGAGTGATTATGGTGGATTGGGAAATATGATAATAGACCTAGGATTTGAGTGCTATAGTTTTTCAGCAAAGGCAAGCTAATAACCATGCACAAATTTGGGAATTTTAAAACATGAGCATGCTTAAATTGATGTTTCAGTATTGAGACCCATTAAGCACAATCAAATCACAGTGAAGAATTCAAATTTCAAAGCTGCCAGACGGCTGTATTATTGCTGTGCCACTCTTACAATTTCCCCCGTCCCTGCTCTCCGATCTCAGGCCTCTGTTCCAGAGTCTCCCTGCGGACGCTGAGGAAGGTGTCAGCCTTAGCAAAATGGCTCCTGTACTGCCATTTTCTTTCTTTTATTTTCTCCTATATCTCCCACAATACAATGACCTAAAACTGTCTAGTGTCGTGAAGCTAATAACTATTTTTAAAAGGTCTTTCTTTTCTCTATTTGAATGCTAACAACTCAAACATTTTCTTTCTGGCATTTAAGCTCCAACTCTGATGCTTAATTTGAATTTAATTTTAAAGTGAGTATTCATGCAAATCAAAAAGGAATCTCTTGTCTTTGCTATTGTGCTATTTTCCTTGATGAATCCTCGGTGTACACATGTGATGATAAATTATTTATAGACTGTGTTTTTGAGTCTGATATTTTATAAAAAGCAAGAGTCTGAGTCTACCTTCTGTACAATTATTTTTTTAAAGGCATAGCTTTAAAATTTGCATATAAATCATGGTTGAACTGTTTCTTACCATATATGTACATTTTTTTTAGGCACTGGCACATCTCCACTTAATAGAATATGTTGGAGAACAAACTGCTTTCCTAATAAAGGTATATGAAATTTGGTAATAGAATGCATTCCAGGTATTGTCCCTTTGATTTCCTAGAAGCATATTGCAATATGACATATTAGTTCTCTAAATAAATTACTTCAGTAAATCGATTTTATCCTGCGTAGCCTAGAGCTAAAGGGAGATGTGTTCTCAAATATAGAATTTCGGGTCCTATACACTTTTTATTAGGTTTTAATTAGCAATGTCTAAAGAGAGAAATTCAGCCCCTAATCTGAGCAAATGAGTGCTGCAGACCCCTTTCCAGGCGGTCCTGGGGTGCAGGTCCGGGTGACAATGTGTATTGCCCCCAGGTCCTAGTGAGGGAGGAGGTGGCTATGGTTTCTTCTTTCCTGGAATAACAAGATGAAGCATTTTCTTGAAATTGATCTCTCTCCTTATTTAACCACAGATGCACAGAGTGTCCTGTAAAGAATCAGGGAAGCCTGAGTATGGCCTCTGTTTGGACCCACTGACCTCTGGATCTATGTCTGCCACGGTCTCTTGTAGGGTTTTCTAAATTTCCCAGGCCCATAGAAGGTGATATAACACTGCGGTGGCTTTTACATAGTGAACTCCTAGGACTGAGCATTGCTGTTGTTTACTCCTTCTAGATGGTCCCCCAGGACCAACGCCTTGCGACAGCTATTGTGCTGGTGGTATGGGTCTCAGCCATAGCCTCGTCCTTGATCGACAACATCCCATTCACCACCACTATGGTGAGTTGCATGCTCCTGATGTACAGCCCCTCACCGCCAGCCAGCACGAACTGTGGAGCTTCTCTTCCTCTGAGGAATCAGAAAATGAGGCTTTCTCCAGTCACGGGGAGGGGGGTCAGATGATCGAGGGCAGAGCTGCGCGTGCTGAGAGCACAAACCCACGCCGGAGAGGGAGAAGTCCTGAATGACCGGTTGCTTTGGGGTCAGCTGATGGAGAGCTGCTGCTTTCCCTGCAAAGAATGTTCTTCCTGTCCTCCTCTCTCCTCCCCTCCCCTCCCCTCCCCTCTCCTCCCCTCCCCTCTTGCTATTTTTCCTTTCTCTCCTTTTCTTTAATAAATGGGGAAACATCAAAAACAGATATAGGCTCAGGACTTTTATTCTCTATTTTCTATAAATGCAAAAGCAGGTGAAATTTCAAATGTCTGCTCCTCTCTGTTAGTTGCTACGTGCCATCAGTGTGGTTTTAACTCATGGTTGACCGTGATGAAGCACCACGCGTCCTCTATGCCATCTGTCCAAGTGTTCTTAAGTTTGAGTGCCTTGTTAGAGTCAGTGTCTCAATCCTTCTTGCAGACAGTCTTCCTCTTTTTTGCTGCCTCTCTGCTCATAAGGTCCTTTCCCGGGAACTGGTCTCTCATGATCAAATGTCCAGAGTATGTGAGGAGAAGTGTTGCTGTGTTTGCTTTTCAGGAGAATTCTGGCTGCACCTGTTGGAAGATAGATTTGTTTGTTCTTTGGGCTCTCATGATGCTTTCTTTTTTTTTTAACATTTTATTAGTCATGATGCTTTCAATACTCTTCACCAGCACCATAACTAACATGCATTTATTCTTCTTTGGTCTTCGTTCTTGAATGTTCAGCTTTCACATTCATTTGAGGCAATTGAAAACACCATGGCTTGTGTCAGGCATACCTTAGGCTTTCAACACTTTTAAGAGGTCTTGTGCAGTAGATTTACCCAATGCAATGTGTCATTTGATCTCTTGACTGCTGCTTCCATTAACATTGATTGTGGATATAAGGAAGAAAAAAAATCCTTGACAACTTCAATCTTCCCTCCATTTATCGCAATGTTCCCTATGGATCCATTTGTCAGGATTTTGGGTTTTTTTACTTTGACTCATAATCCATACTGAAGGATGCAATCCTTTATCTTCACCAGAAAGTATTTTAAGTCTTCTTCACTTTCAGCAAACAAGGCTGTGTTAAAGGTTGTTAATAAGACTTCCTCCAATCCTGCCTGATACCAAGATTATTCATCTTAATATAATCCAGTCTCTCTGTTTGCTCAGCATACAGTTTGAATAAGTTTGTTGAGCAGATATTACTGTAGTGTGCACATTCTTGATTTTTAACCATGTGTGCTTCCTTTGTTCTGTTCACACCACCACCTCTTGATGCATAAACATGTTTCACATGAGGACAATTAAGGATTCTGGAATCGCCATTCTATTCAAGGCTATCCATATTTTGTTATCGTCTACACAGTCAAGTGTCAAATGTGTTGAATAAGAATGTCGCAACAGGATTGGAGGAAGGCTTATGATCTCTCCTTTCTCAAGAGTGGTGTATTGAAGTCTCCTAATATTATTGTTTTATAGTCTATTTCTTTGTTTTATTGTCTATTTCTTTCTCCCCTACTATAAGCATATTTCAAAGGTGATTCATTAGGTATATTTATGTTTAGTTTGTTTGTGTCCAGTTTTGTTACTTTAATAATGATGTAATGTCTTTGTCTCTCAAGATGGATTTTGCCTGGAAGTGTATTTTATTTTATTTTATTTTATTTTATTTTTTTGTGTATAAGAAAGAGCTTTATATAAAAGAACAATTGTTTAATGAGAAAACATCCCAACCCAGTCCAGATCAAGTCCATAAGTCTGATATTAGCCCATATGTCTGATACTAGTCCATACATTCCTCTTTAGATTCGTGCAGCACATGCAATGATACCAAATGCAGGAAGGTCACAGGCCAGTGGGTAGGTCTGTGGATCCAGTGGCAGTGGAACCATCTCAATGCTGGTACAGGTCTCCACATGTCTCCTCCAGGTCTCTGAGTGTCTCAAAAGCAGGAAAGGGAAGGCAGAGACTGAATCTGGCCTCCAGTGAGCTATTTATCTCCATTGTGCCTCCAAATGAGGTCCTCAAGCTGTAACCTGATTGACAGGCCAGACTCCACTCCTTTGCTAAAGTTGATAGGAGATTATATAACTGCCACAAGGGTCTTTTTCTTTTTT